CCTAAACGGTGTAGGTAAGCGACGTTGCGGAGTAGCGTTAGCAAAGAAGCTAGGGTGCCAAACAATGGCGATCGAGCCGACGTTTAGTAAACGCCCTGAAAAATGACTAAAACAGTATCAGAAAGACTACATTTTGCGAAGAATGTTACCTTGGCATTCATGCAAACTGTGCATTCATCTCCTAATTCACCATCATCATTACTGGAGCGCTGCTTTCGTTGCTGATTTGTCGGAATTTGTGCTGGTGGTGGCGGACGAGGAGGAGGATGCAACGGCGGCCTCGCTGATAAAACTCGCACCGGTGAGGTCCTTTAATTAACCATTAATTTAAACCACATAACAACCGGTAACTTTCTTGCGCGGATGACACTGCTGTTTTGAAATATTAATAAAAAGCTTTATTTTTCAGCTACTACTCCCACAGCAAAAAAATCACTATGCGGTAAAATGGTCCCCGCCAATTTTTTTTAGACGAAAACTAGAGTGCAAGAGAAATAATATTGCCTGCACATCTCTCTTCACTTGCCTAATTTACCGATGCGCGTACTTTTGCTTTTTTACGCTCTCGCCTTTGTTACGTTTAGAAATACCTTTGAATTAACCCAGTCAGATCCGACAACTGGCTTCATGCCAAAGTCAAAGAACGAATGAATCAGCGCAAACTCCTATCAATTCGTCACGGTTGGACTACCAGAGGTAGACGAGCCTATCCCTTCTTAAAGTAAAATTTCGTAGCAGATTACTCTGTCCCTGAAACCACCAAGTTCTGCAAAAACTTCAAAACAAAACAATGTGAAAACCATCCTGTTCCATCCATTTCCCAATTTTTCACTTTCTCCTGTTTATGCATTCAGTGAAAGGATGGAAGATTACAATGTCTAAAAAGACACAAATGTTTTTATTTGACTAATCAAGAAATGACCTTTCCACCAAAACCTTAAATATGAACTCTTAGGAAATAATGCATTTCGAAAATGGAATATTCCTCCAGCTTTCTTAAGCTCTTGAAATGTGTACAGTGGGCGACACAAGACAAATTTTTTTATCAGACTGGCAGTCTTACATGAAATGAAAAGTGTTCCGTCCATGTGCGCGGCTAAGTGACCCATTCTTCCATAAAATCAGTAATGAGTTGTTAAATTTGCCCTACAGTTTGCCTAAATTTTTAATATTCTTCTCTCAAACAGTTCTGCGTACAATTCGTGTATTGAATACACTCATCTTTAAACTGAATGCAACTTTACCGTTTAAGAGAAGACGAAGAAAGGGAACCTAACGCCTCTTTTAGAACAGCGTCGAAATGTATTTTATAGCCTAGTGCGGTTTGGAGATGAGAATGTTCACAGGTCGTGTACAACAACAGTAATCGGCCCAAATGACGACGGATGTGTATGAAAACCCTGAGTATCTGCAGAGGACGAAATTAACTGTAAATAAAAGTTCAGCAGATTCGCTGTCATTTGAGCAAAATTATCTTGAATCTCACTCAAAACAGATACTGAAGAAGGGATTGACGAATGTGAACAACTTAAAATACGACTCAATTTGCCGATAAACCTTTATGTGCTTATACCTGGCTGGCACTGGAGGAGGCGGGAAATGCGGACGATGAGAAGATACGTTGGTTTCACTACTGTGTCGCCCATGCAAACTGTCCAAATTCTCCAAAAAGTCGATCAAATTCTCATTACTCGTAGTGAATATAGGTCTCGGGCACCTCAACGTTGCCGAATGTGCGCTCCTTTCTGCTTCTAAAAGGAATGAATTCATGAAAGCAACGCCGAAAAGAAAGCTCTACTACTCAAGCACGCAAAAGCTTGAATCTTCTCGAGTTAGCGAACATGTGCCTAACTAAAATCATCTTTAACTAACGTGCAGAAGACGGCGCACGCAGAATCACTCCACTGAAGTTTTCACCAGTTACTGACTGTGTTCGTCGTGTTAAAAACGGAGACGGATCCTCTGGATTTGTGGGCTGGACTGGGTGGGTGCTCGTTGATGGCCAAGCAGTCCTACAAAATCAATCACTGATTTGCGGACTTATCCCATACTTGCACAGCATCACTTCCGAAACGCTGCTGCCACATACTTGAAACTGTCTAAATCACAGCTATTTCAGTGAAACTTACAGTTCATTAGCAGAGCCTGCTCTTGTTTCAGAACACAAATCAAGCTGGCTGCGTGAATTCCTTGAGCTAGCAGGAAGCGGAGGAGCGCGCTGTGTTACTTGTGAAGTTGATCGAACCTTGACACTACCTGTAATAAAAGGTAAAAGCATCCTCGCGACCAAAACACTTGAACCTCCTGCAATCTGTTGCTGGTGGCCAAATGTGTCAAAGTGGAAAGAGCCTGAGGTATTTTTAGTGGCAATTAATGCAATTTCACTTCTTCATAGAATTCAAAATCAGTAGCCAACAGTACCGGCGCATAACAAACTTGCAGGTATAATTGCGCATTTTTCCCCGAAAATGCTTGTTGCTAAGTAGCACTGTTTTTTAGGGCAAGTGGTGCTAGCAAGACAAACAGAAAAACGCGCCCAATTCGGATTCGTTATTTTTATTTTTTGCTTTCACAGTGTCAAGGTGACATGCCAATGCCAAACTGCACCGTAAGTGAAGCGAGAGGGACGTAAAAACTGTTTTTTTCACACAGATTTACTCAGACATGATAGCGGACCATGCACACGAGCTGTTTTGGCTGCGGAGCTAGAAAAGTTCCAGTATCAAATCGCACGTGTCCGTACGCGCGATGTAAAGAGATCATGAATGCTGTTTTCACGTACACTTGTATATGGACGGTTGTGGGCCACACTCAGCACTCCAGTTGCTTTGGTTGTGGAATTACAAAAATGTCACCGACAAATTTCACATGTTCGTGCATAAGATGTGGGCAGGCACGAAATTCCGCGTATTCGTATGCGAGACGCAGATGAGTACTTCCACCTGCACACATGCAGACAGCAAACAATATCGCCAAATTACAGCTTTCTACAGTTTTCAGTCTAAGTCGCATACGGCACAGTGCAAATTTGCATTCTCACGTGTACGCACGCCAGACCTAAGTGTGTGCGAACGCTGAAATTAAATTCCTTGAGTTGCACATAAACAAGGACCGTCTTCCTGAAGTTTCAGTGTTCTAGCTTGTCTAGTCCTCGAGATTATTTTCCCGCCAAAATATCTTTCACACGTTCGTACGTGAAAAGTAGGAGGACATAGCCCTACGGACCTATCCCACAGTTGCAGACTAAGTTATTAAAATTTCAGCTTAGTCGCTTTTTTAGGTCAGGAGATCAACATAAGCCTAAACACGCACATGCACACGTGCGCACACAACATGCCCTCTCAATATGTGTTTTTGGAATGCACAGATGAAAAAAAGGCATAATAAGGAAAAACGCGGTACTCCTGTTACCAATGACGATTTTTTATAAATTCCAGGCTAAATTTAACCTAAAAGGCGTATTCTTTGGGTAGTTCCATATACATCAAAATATGCCCACAGCTTCACCGAGGTGTCCACATGGATGATGACACGCGGTGCAAGATTATTTTTCGCAAAATAAACCTGGCCTGAAAAAAATTTATTATGGTACGGAGGAAAACGAGGATAACGCGATTCCTAAAAGCAAATCCATG